TATATATATATATATATATATATATATATATATATATATATATATACTAGAAAGGTACTCACGTTAATTATACAGCGAGATACATCTCGATTTTAATATTTCATTTTATTTTATCTTCGTAGATGTTATAATGCGATTTTACGTGTATTGAAAACACGATAATGTTTTTTATTTTTTAAATAAAATATAAATTTAAAAAAATGTATCAATTTCAATATCAAATTAAATATTTAAAAGTTCATATTTTTTGGTGTAATTTCTTTAATTCAACTTTTTATTATAATTTAAGTTAGATTTAATAATGAAGTAATTTATTTTTGGTTTAATAATATAATTTTTTTATAAAGATAATAGTTAGTATTTTGTTAGAATTCAATAATTATCCTAAATATATTTTAGATTTTTTATATTTAAAATAAAACCGCTATCCAGTATAATATTGACATAGACTAAAACGAAACCTTCAAATTGAGATTTATCTCAATCCATTGTACGAATATACTTCTAATAGATTAAAATTATCTATTTAATATTTTTTAGAAATTCAAAGAATTTATTTGATAAAAAAAACTGTTTAATAACATAATTACACAAAATCGAAAAAATATATTGGATTTTTATATAATTTCCCTAGAGACACACGAAGTAAATTTGGGCTAAATGGGCTTTATTTCTGTATGGGGCTGGGCCCAAAAACACAAATAATCATTTTAAATGGTTAAATATTATTATATATTAGGTATAAAAAACTGATACGCCTTCTTACTGCACGTGTTTCCCTTATAAATATACAGAGGCAAATTAATTAAACGAGAATTAAAAAAATATTATAAACTTATAAAAAAATTAAAAAATATTTTTTTATATGATTTTTTTTTTCATCAAACGGTAGGATTTAAGACAATATTAATATTACATATCATTTGAATTTTATTTAATTATGTGGATAAAAAAAAGTTTTCACATGGATTTTTTTCATTATACGAACACAAACATATATGAAAGAGTAGTTTAAATTATAGAATTTGATGGAAAAAATAACGTAAAGAAGTATTTTTGTATCGGTTCTTGTGAGTTTATAATCTTTTAGTGTATGGTTCTCATTTGATCATTGTCATATATATATATATGTGTGTGTGTGTGTGTGTGTATGTGTATGTGTATTGGGTCATTTATGGGAAAACTTGGTAATTTGTGATGATCATGAGATCTAATCTAAACCACAAATCAAATTATAAATTAGAAAATTTATATTTTTGATAATTTTGATTTAAAATTAATTTTCAAGCATATTTTGGATATTTTACAAGTCTTATCTCTCGCATCTTCTCTCTCCTCTCTCCTCTGGCCTGAACATTACATTATGATATATGTTGTATACAAGTTGTGATACATTAATTATGACTATCATCTTTATATACTCATTGATACCTACTCTATACATGATGTGATAYCCTGAGATACACRTTGTSATACACACTGTGATACCCAATGTTRATAGGTATTAAGGTTGACTAAATCAATAAGATATGAGGGAAAAAAAATTGATACAAATATAGAAATTGGACGAATGGATTAATGGAATAGAATGTTACCAAATTTTAATTTGCTAGCTCGGTTATCATCAAAAAAAKAAAATTACTAATTTAYCCTTATTACTAGTTTAAAAATATCTTTAATTATCTCAAATGAATTCTTACGTTARATCTTACGATTATCATAAATTACAAACTACGCTCCGTAACCTATAAATTAACCGTTACAACTTCTAGAAGCCAAAGAATATACATAAAAATAGCTACGGATTCGACCACCATTTTCAAACTTTTCAGCTGCAAGTAAAAAGTGTGTCTTGTAAGCCTTTTCTTTTACTTTTCAATGATTGTGTTGTAATGGTATTTTAATGTCATAAAATTTAATCTATTTTAACGTTTGCTTACAAATCAGATAAAACACCTTTTTTTATGAGAAATTATGAGCACATTTGGTTTTAATTTGTCTTAACGATAAAAGCACGAGAATGGTGTACGCTGATGTCCCGAAATGACTTGGTAACCACGACGTGGTGGAGACTAAATAAGCACGAAACACGTCATAAAGTTCAACACGGTCAGTGCTTATAACAAGTCGTTGACGAAGAGACTTCATGGTAGCTAGTGTTGATGTCATATGCAAATGAAGGAAATGTATAGGACCTGATTCAAGTGATTATCAATAGGTAATGTCGGATTGATCGGTTCTTCATAATTAATTTCGACCCTGTTACATAACCATTGATCAAATGGTTATATGTTATAGTTGTGTTTATCCAACTTAATCGATCGTCAATTTGGTAAAATACATCATCACATCAGCTGGGGAGGTTAATTAAACGAGAAGATGGTCAATTTATGAGAAGGCCAAAAGTATTAATTAAGATCACATATGATTATAKAAGTAAATTCACATGTGATTGTTGGAGTAAGTTCACATGTGATACAACATRTCCAAAAGCACATAG